AGTGCTGGCACCCATTGTGAGCAGAGTTCTTGCTGTCTTTGTGCTGGTGAAAGCAAAGAGCTCCAGCCCTGCAGCTGGCAGGGCTCTTGAGAGAAAACAAATATTGAGGACACGTAAAGTCTATTTAAAAACCAGGGACCCCAGGCCTGGAGCAGGAGAGTTGCCCAGGTAACCCTTCAGTGGCAGAGAGGGGGCTGAGTGTTTGTGCACACCTGGTGGGGAAGGGACACTGTCCCCTTTGTTCTGGGGTTTCACATATCTCCCTCCTGAAGCTTTTCCACACTGAACTTACGAGGTCACCGCGGCCTTTGTGAGTTTTCCAGAACGCTGACATGGCTGTAGCTGATCCTGACAATCCCCTCTTTGTGCCAGTGCTTCAGTGCTTATAAAGCCCTGTTTTGGAGAAGGCTGAGGGTCACCTGTGAACAAGACATTAATCCCAGTGCCAGGCTGACATGAACCTCATTTTCCCTGTAGCTGTGTGCAGCTCTTCTACTCCGTGAGGAGAATCTTCCAGCTGTTCTATGAAGTGGTGCCAACTTACCACAAGTAAGTGTGCCTGTGTGTGTTCCCTGGGGCCTGTTTTGAGAGGGAATAATGCTACTGGGACGCTCCCACTTGGAGATTACTAAGGGCTTCCTCCAGCAGCAAAAAGCTGCTATTAATCTATTACTAAATCATATCTGTGCAAAGTAGGTGCTTGAGGGTTTCTGAGTTGCCAGTCCAACGAGCAGGGGGATGGTTGAGGTCCTTGCACCGTTGTTTTTGTTTCCAGCCACGTAACTTTGGCCCCAGGTCTGATGCACAGATTTTTAATGATGTTTTTCCTGCAAAAAAAGGGCAGCAGTGAAGACTGAAAGAAGAACACTGGAGTGTTCCTGACAGGACTTCTCTCCCCCTTCCTTACCATAACTTTGCTGTAACAAAGTATATTTCTGTTTGAAAGCCCATGGCTAGAAAAAGTGTGGGATAAGGATAACACATGGTTCAAATGCTCCTTTCCTGGAGGATCCTTTGGGGATGTGACAAGTTCAGTGTTTTTATCCTGACTGGTGCCAGTCAGGCCTCACCCATTTTCTGCAATGCCTGCAGCGAGTTTCTCTAGGGTAGGCACGCCTATTTTTTTAACAGATTAATAAATAAATACATTTCTTTTCTCTCTCTTCCTCCTGCCTGGGGCAGGGAGAGCCTGCAGAAGTTTCCCCAGCTGGCAGCCATCCACCACAACAACTGCATGTACCTCGCCCACCACCTGCTCACCCTGGGCCACCAGTTCCGCTACCGCACCACCAACATCCTGAGCAATGGGGCAGCCTCCTTTGTGGACCTGGTGCCTGCCTTCAGGAGGCTGGGTAATAACTCACCTTCCCCTCCCAAAACACGCACATGGGTCACGGGGCAAGCAGCCCTGGCAGCTGGGGCTGGGTGCTTTGATGGAGGTGTGGCTGCTGACTCCTGTGAGCTGTGCATTGCTGTTTTCTGGACAGGTGGCAACAACGTTTTCTAAATTGGGAAGTCTTGGCTCTTTGGAACCCAGCTCTTGTCCAGCACGTAGTTCCAAGAACTATGTGTGTTCCAGCACAGTGTTGTAGCACTGTATTTTGGGATCTGCTGCTCAGTCCTTTGATGTTTTCTTCAGCTTATCCCGTGGGAACAAATTCAGAGAGAAGTTTGTGTGAGCTAACAGGAGTCATCCACAGTTAATTCTGCTACTCTGCTCTTTTTCAGAAGTGTTGTAGCAATGCAAGCTGCAATAGAGCTTACTGGTTAAATTGGCTCTGTGAGACTGTTTAGGGACTGGAAATTCGATTAAAAATAAAACACTATGGCAAGTTCATTATTCAGCAGTTACAGTCATAAATAGGCACAGCAAATTTAGTAATTGCTTAATTGCTTCTCTGTTTGCTCTTCCTCCTAAAGGGATGGAGTGTTTTAAGGCCCAGATGCGAGTGCAGAAGGGGGAAATCCTGGAGAGGCTCTCAAGTGCCAGGAATTTTTCTAACATGGATGATGAGGAGAATTTCCGTGCAGCAAACAAAGCAGTAAGGCAGGTAAGGAAGGCAGTCAAAGACAGACATCCCTGTGTCTGCAGGTGTCCTGGGGAAGGTCCAGTGTGTAATCTCAGTCCTGTTTCAGCAGTGTGGAACTGTTAAAACAGCTATTTTCTGACATGTTTGTGTTGTTTTTTTTTTTATCCTGGGCTGTGTCTTTAGCAGGATGTTTTGTTGCCTTTTGCTTCTCTCAGCCTGGTTTCTGACCATGTGTGGTCACCTTATCACTTGGTGCCTTCCCTAACGTTCTTTTTGATAACGTGGAGGTAACACAGAGCTGTTAATTCCAGGTATTGCATCAGCTGAAGAGGCTGGGCCAGGTCTGGCAGGATGTCTTTCCAGTGAACGTGTACTGCAAGGCCATGGGGACCTTACTGAACACAGCCCTGACAGAGATTGTCACCAGGATTGTTGCCCTGGAGGTACCTGCTGGGGTGGATGTGCCAGCCCTGGGGTGGTGGGGACAGCTGGCATTTGTGACCTTGCTGATCCCAAGGTCAGGTTTCAGGGGAACAGTTACCTCTCACAGAAACTGTAACCCTGTGTCCACGGGAAGTGTTCACAACACCAAGTTTTGATTTCACTTGGCACTGCAAAAATAAATCTCCCTGCTCCACTGTTGATGTTTTCTCAATTCCAGGATATCTCTGCAGAGGATGCAGACAGGCTGTACTCGCTCTGTAGGATCATGGTGGAGGAGGGACCCCAAGTCTTCACCCCTCTACCTGAAGCAGAGAAGAACAAGAAGTACCAAGAGGAAGTTCCAGTCTACGTGGAGAAGTGGATGACATTCAAAGAGCTGATGATCATCCTGCAAGCCAACCTCCAGGAAATAGTGGATCAGTAGGTGTCTTCCTTTCTCCCTTCTCAGTTGGTTCTCAGGAGCAGGGAGCTGGGAAGTGTCTGACTCACCAAAGGCTCCCAACTCCACTTCCACCTGGACATAAACCACTTCCTTGTGTTCTTAAGGAGGTAAATGGGAATTTTGCAGGCTGGCTTTAGGCATATTTAGGAGAAGGAAAAGGTACTGAGTGCAGGAGTCACCTCACAACCTGGTGCTTTGTGTACCTGGCTAGCCAGTTGTGGGCTGGGGCTGCACACATACCTGGTTAGTGAACACTGGGACAGGTCCTCAGAGCCCTGTCTGAATGTGCCATTCCCAGGCAGTTTGGCTAAAGGAAGCTCTTTCTCTCCCCTGCAGGTGGGCAGATGGGAAGGGCCCTCTGGCAGCCGAATTCTCAGCAGCTGAAGTGAAGAGTCTGATCCGAGCCCTGTTCCAGAACACAGAAAGGAGAGCAGCAGCACTGGCCAAAATCAAGTGACCCCACGTTTACACCTGCACTTTGCATCTTCTGATAAAAGCAAGAGCAAACTGAGACTTTCAAATATTTTTTTTTGATTTGGCCTTTTTTATTTGTACTGGTGTTAAGGGGAAAAAAAAAAAAAGATTAGAATTGGGTAAGTGCTTCCTGGAGCTTGGCTGGGGGAGAAGGAACATTTCCTAGCTCAGTGTTTGAGGGGCTGGGAGTCTGGGACCAGGAAATCCCAGGTGAGGAACACACAGACACCTCCTGCCACACTCCACAGGAGTTCTGCCCAAATCCAGGTTCTCCTTCAGCAGCTGGTGGGTGTCCTGGTGCAGGAGAGATGCTTTTGCTGATGCTTGCTAGTTCCCATTCTCTAGGATTTCATCTTCCTGTTCAGCCCAGCATAGGAAAACAAATCAAACCTTGTATCCAGCATCTCTGTGAGCACAGGCACTGCTGCCAGACAAGCCTCCCACGTGAGGTGCTGTGTGACCTCATCTCAAACTGGCCTCAGGGTCCTGGAGAGGGATTCTTACTGCTCAGTAGTGACTCATCTATGCAGTTCTACATCAGGGGTCTGTAGCCCCTCTCTGTCTTACCTCTTGTGTCCCTGCAACCCACACACTCTGAGAGCTCTTGATATCCTCCCAGGGATGCTGAAGTGCCAAACTTAGCTCTTTCCCACCTCAGGTTCTCCTGAGGGACAGACCTCAAGAGAGCAGCAATTTAGGGGGCATTCTGGGAAAGGAGATCCTGTGCAGAGCGAACTGGTGATCAAGTCACAGGGTTTTGCACAGGTAGCAAAATTCTCTTATTTCTCATGGAAAATATCTTAAAACTGACTTAGAATTTTTCAGTCTCGCTTTACCAGCTGTAGAAGCCAATTCAGCTCCTTCCTTTGTGTTTTTGTTGGCTGTGAACTGGGTAGCTCTGGAGTCTTTCTGGTATTATATTTTTCTGTCCTTTATGAAAGGTGATAGAAGTGTAAATGAATGTAAAAAGGGAATGAAAGGTGCACTCATAGCATTGTCTTTCTCAGTCACAAAAGGCTATGGTTTAGATTTTGAGAAATGCATATTTAACTGAAAAACTCACTGAGATCATTCACTTAAACTAGCCCAGAGGCCAAGATGCTGCACTCAGGGAGCAAAGTTCTTTCTGCCCTGTACTGCTCACAAAAGTTTCAGTCACAGAGCTCGGTGTTTTTAATTTGTTGTATCCTTTTCATTTGCACTTTTGTCCAACTTCTGTTCCCATTGCAAGTATTTTTGCCGGGCCTGAGGCCCTGACTTGTGTCACCCAAGCCCCTGCAGAACCCTTCTGCTCTGGTTTAACTGGTGTGAGGAGGGGGAAATCCAGTCTAATGGGCAGTTAGACCGAGCCCAGCACCTGGGAATGCAGCAGGGATGGGACATACTGAAGCAGAATCTGCCACTCAAAACTCAGCTTTTCTTCCCCTCCAAGTGATTGACCCAAAGGCTGAGAGTGTTGCCCTTAAACTGACATCTCATAGGACCCCCTGTCCCTTTTATACACAGCAACCCAAAAAAACCCACCTGTTTTGGAAAGCACCACTTCTCCCATGTTTATTGTTCACAGAAATGTAATTTGCTATTTTCTTTAATAAACTATTTATACTGAGCACGTTTGGGGTTCTGTTCGGGTTACAGGATGAATCACTCCCAGACTGTTCTCCACTCCTCACTTGGAGAGGACAAGGTGTAGCTCTGTGAGGTTCCACCTTGCCTGATTTCTAGTAGATCTAATAAACAAAACAGAGGAATCAGTACTATAGAAGAGGTCATCCCAGAGTCCCATGGGTCAGGGGGAGTGGCAGAGTTCAGTGGGATGCTGGCACTGGGATTTGTCTCTGGAAGATACAGGGCTGTGGAGCAGGCTGGGCACACATCTGGGCTTACCTCGGTGACCTGGTAAATCCAGGGCAGCAGCTGAGCCACGTTGGTGTAGACCCCGGGGTGGTTGGGCTCAGCACAGCCCTGGCCCCAGCTCACGATGCCCACCAGGCGCCACGTGGATCCATCCCAGCACACGAGGGGGCCCCCACTGTCCCCCTGGGGGCACAGCCAGGGCTCAGGGAGCTGCTCTGCCCCACGGGCAGCTCAGGCAGATCACGGAGCCCCAGACTGCTCTGGGTTCAAAGGGACCTTAAAGCTCATGCAGACCCACCCCTGCCACGGGCAGGGACAGCTTCCACCGGCCCAGGTCGCTCCAAGCCCCATCCAGCTGGACAAAGTGGACACTCCCAGGGGTGGGGCATCCAAAACTGGGCATCCTGCCTCCCCAAGGCGGGTGTCTCCCAGCTGTCGTGCTCCCCCAGCCCCCAGGAGGCTGGCAGGCGGCATCCCCCGCGGTTGGGTACCTGGCAGGCGTCCACCTGGCCGCGGGCGTGGCCGGCACAGAGCATCCTGGCCGTGAGCCCCCCCGGGTACATGCAGGAGCTGTTGCACCTCCGCGTCCCGATCAGCGGCACCAGGGCCTCCTGCAGCGTCCCGGCCACCTGCGCTGGGGTGGGGAGAGAGGAGCCACGAGGGAGAAACAGGGCCCGCAGGGAGCAGCAGGGGAGAGCGGGGCACTAGGCTGGGGAAGGCAGAGAGGGGAAATCGGGATTAACTTCGTGGGATTGGTGTGGCCAGGCCCACAGGAGGCTGTGGGGTGGAGGCTGCTGGAGCAGGGGTGGGATGAGGGAAGCTCACACGGGGAATGGAAGGTGTTGGATGGGGCAGGGGGAAAGTCTCTGGGCAGCACTGAGGGACAGGATGGCAGCTCACCTTGGTCAGGGGTGGTGTAGCCCCAGCCAGAGACCCAGCACTGCGTGCCCTGGAGCAGGTCCTGGTGGGAGGGCGGCAGGCACACGGCTCGGATGGCAGCTGGGGAGAAGGGGACAGGGAAAGCGCCAGGGCAGCAGGGACAGCTTTGGCGGCAGCAGCAGCCAGGGAAGGGCTGCAGAGCCCTCAGCTGGCTCGGAGATGGGAAAGGCTCTGGGTATCCTGCAGGAGCATCAAGACCAGCCTGGATGGAGCTTTGAGCAACCTGCAGTAGTGGAAGGTGTCCCTGCCCATGGCACGGGGTTGGAAACGGATGAGCTTTAAGGCCCCTTCCAACCCAAACCATTCTGTGATGCTGAATTTGTCAGAGCTGCTCTGAAGGGGCAGGTTCAGAAGAGGCTCATTTTTGGGCAGCTTTTCACTGTGGGACAGGACAGACAACTCCACAGAAGGACACAACTACTTCTTACCCGAGAAATTGAGGGGCACTCGGAGCTTCATGAGGGCGATGTCGTAGTCGAGGCTGTTGTGGTTGTAGAGCGGGTGGTGAACGACCTCCTGGACTGGCACCCCAGCCTCCTGCCTGAGGGAGCCGTGGGTGACAATCCCTGCAAACACCCGCCAGGCAGAGCCCTGGAGCCTGCTGGAGCTGGGCAGAGCACAGAGCACAGAACACAGCGTGCCCTGAGCCGAGGGCAGCGGGCACCGAGGGCTCTGGGGACAGCAGGGTGGGCAGGGGGTACCTGTGCACGCAGTGAGCTGCTGTGATGATCCAGTCCTGGGCCAGCACCGAGCCCCCACAGCGGTGCTGGGAGCCCTGGCACACGCTGACCTGCCAGGGCCAGCGCCCAGGGGGCACATCTGCCCCCTCGACCACCCGCACGGCCCCGGCGGGCAGCCCACACTCTGCAAGGGGGTAGGACGGGCTCCAGCCCCACACCCTCAGGCTGCAGGGCCAGGGGAGCAGGAGGAATGGAAGCAAAGGAGCTGCTGGATCCAGGCAGAGCTCCTGGGGACGTGGGAGAGGAGGGAATGGCTCACCTGAGCACTGCAGAGCCACGATCCGCCCCGATTCACAGCTGCTCCTGCACAGGAACAAACCCTCCTGGTCGGGATAAACAGCAACCAAAACCCCCGGGGCACTGGGGAGCCCCAGGGTGGCAGCAGCACTTCCCCAAGGGGCTGTTTACTGCTCACCACCTGCACAGTTTGCTGTGTTCTTAAACCTAAAAGAAAAGGCTTCAGCCGACTCTGCTTCTCCCAGAGCTGCCCTTACCTGACCTGCCACAAGTCTTCCAGGCTCCCCTCCTGGTGGGGTCTGACCTGCAGGAACTGCTGCTGCTCGTCCACCCTGACATCCGTCAGGTTCACTCCTTTCTGATGGGTCATTCTGCAGAAACAACAGGAATTGCCCCAGGAAGGGGATCAGGACCTGCCACGGGAGCAAACACAGTCCTGCAGCTCTGGCAGCTGGGAATGAATCTCTGGGCAGGGAGGATCTTCTGGAGCTGTTCCTGCAGTTCCTCGGGTCATCCCAAGTCCCAGGTTCCACCTGCTGCCCCGACAAACCCCCAGCCCTCCATCTCCTGCTTTTGCCAAGATCACCCCCCTCAAAAAAGGGCAAACAGGGGCCTAAGCAGCCGCCTCTGCCGTGCCCACCTGAGGAACCCGAGCTGCTGGCAGAGCAGGGTGCCCAGGGAGCGATTCCAGCCCTCGTGGCACACCAGGAGCCAGCCAGGACGTCCTTCCAGCTGAGCTTCCAGCAGGGAGTTCGCTGTGTTTATTCTGAAAGACACTAAAGCCACTCCATTACAGACAACCTGAGTCCCCTTTAGAGTGTTCTGTGCAGCCTCACACACGGCTAAAGCAAGAAAACCCCACCCAAACCCCCAGAAAGAGCAACTAGAAACTAGAAGTGATCCCAGTCACTGGGTGGTCACAGGAAAAGGAGCCCAGCAAAGCTGCAGCTCTGGGGGAAGCAGCAGAACTCAGAAGAGAGGCCAAACAACTGCAAAATGCAGCTAGAGGGTCAGCAGGAGATACTTGTTCTCAAAGAGCCTCTTTTCTGTTCTTTCTGGGCTTGGCAGGAGTCCTCTCCCCACCCTTTCTGGCAGCAGGTAGAGACACAAACCTGTCCTGGGAGCCCCCCGGACCACGGGCTCTTCCTCTTCCCCATCACTGCAGGCTGGGATCGCATCCGGCTCCTGCAGCAGGGGGGGCTCCTGCTCTGGCTGAGGCTGCTGCAGGTGTTTCACTTCAGCAAACAGAGAAGGGGGTGCAGATGGACTCACACAGCCTGGGCAGCACCCAGGATGCACGATACTGGGGACAGTCATGCACTGCCACTGGAAGAGGGGAAGGAGCCTCCCTGGCACCCCAGCAACCAGCAGAGCCCGCACCAGCCACACCTCTCCATCCCAAGCCACAGCTGACTGACCAAGGAGCTCCCATCACCACCTCCCCGCAGTGCTGACCCCCCAAACTCGCAGCAGGGCCGTCCTGGGGAGACACTGACCCAGCAGCCACGTCCCAGCCACCGTCCCCACCAGCAGCCCGGCGACCCCGAGCAGCAGGAACAGCCTCCTGAGGGTGCAGAGGGTCCCAAAAGATGCCTCAGCAGGATCTTTAAAAGAGGGACAGAGGATCAGCGTGGTTTGCCCACCTCTCACAGCTCTCCCAAGCCCTGGTGAAGCCCCTGGGTCGCTGTGCACCAGTTTCTAGGGCTCAGTGCTCCTCTCCCGCAGCGCCAGGAGGAGCTGAGCTAAGGCCGTGGATGCTGTGGGAGCTCAAGGCTCAGGGCACCCTCCCCATTCCCAAAACCCACAAGCAGCTCACCCACGTGTCCCAGGGAGGTCTGTGCCCCCTGTGCCCCCCTCCTTGGCTGGGCTGCCAGGCTCCCTGGGCTGTGCACGGCATCCTCGACGCGGTTTGGCTTGTCAGGAACCCGCTCAGGTAAGTCTGGACTCTGGGGAGAGGAGCAGAGTCCAGGGAGCAGATCAGTGCCAAAGGCTGGGCATGGTGCAAGGGGACAAGCTCTGGAATCCCCTCTCACCATGGCAGCAGGAGCCAGGCTGTGGGAGCTGAGCACACGGATCTCCAGTGACCCAGCTCGGGTTCCCCGGCACGGCGCGGTGCATGCGCAGCGGCCACGCTCCAGGGACTCCTTGTTCCAAAACCCCCCTTCTCCCACTCACAGGGCCCTTGCAGGGGTGGAAGGGATCATCCAGCTGCCCCTGTCTCGCCCCTCCATCCCCTGCTCCCAGGAGCTGCTCAGGCTGGGGAGCCCCAAGGGAACGCTCCCAGCCCTCCCCGGTGCCTCACCCAGCGAGATCAGCAGCTGCTGAGCTGCCTCAGCTCCCAAACCCATCTCCCACCTGCTGCTCCCCCTTTCTCCCCCCGTACCTGCCATATGAGAAGACCCCAGTGCTGCTGAGGGGCAGTGACAGTGCCCAGGTGGTTGGTGTGAGTGGGGGGCTGCAGTTCCAGCCAGCTCTGCTGGCCCTGAGCAGAACATCCCAGGCTGGGAAAGGATCAGAGAAGAGCCTGGAGCTGCTTTTTATCACCCCCATATCTCCAGCCAAGTGCCTGCCAGCTGTGACACGTGAAGGACAACTCTCCTGCCCACAGGCTGCACTAGGGACGTGCTGGTGAGGGCTGGTGGGCCCCCATCACTCAGGGGGATCCTCCCCACCCTGTGTGCCCAGAGACCCCAGGGAAACAGCCCCACCTGCCCCAGGTGCTGGATTTTTCCCTGCAGCCTTCCCTGCAGCACCCCAAGAGCAGCAAAGGTCAGGCAGCAGCTCTCAGCTCAGCTTCTGATGTGTAATTTCTTGTTGCTGAAAGATGCCGGGGCCCCACGGGAGGGGGGGAGTTTCCATCCCATGGCCTGGGTACTGGCTGGGCCGTAGTGGGGCAGGAGATGCTTTTCTTACCCATGCAAAGCTCTCTGTGGAACAGAAATCCCTGGTGCTGCTGCATCCCCTCATCCTCCTCTGACCCAGGGGATGCTCTACCACAGCTGTCACACCCGAGGTGCTGCCAGTCCCCAAAACCAAGAGCAGAAACAGACTGAAAGAGCTCTCTCGTGAAAGAGGGACTTTTCTTACTTACACACTTCTCCACCCCTGAAAGGCACAGCTGATGGCTTGTTGCTCAAATCACCAATGAATTTTTAATGCTATTTAATCAAGGAAACTCCTGTGAGTGTTTCATGACCTGCAGGTTTGTGCTGCCCACAAACAGCACCAGGTGTGCGGTGGCACAAACCCACCCCGTGCTGGACAGTTGGGGTGAAAACGGGGTTTTTTGGGTGGGTTTGGATTTTTTCTCCAGATCCCCCCCATCTCATTTAGTGTTCAGGCCAGAAAGCAACAGCCAGGGCTGCAATTACCCCCCCAAATCACAGCTGGGCTCAGCTTGACCCTTTCCTGCTCGTGGTTGTGCTGTACCCAGTGGCACTGGAGCATCTCCTCAGCCCAGGGAGGACTGTAGATGGTGCTGGAGCACCAGTGGGAGAGGAGAGAACAGCAGAGGCACAGAAACCAGCCTGAGCATCCTCTGCTGCTCTGGGCACAGAGATGAAGGACTCACCCAGGCTGCTGCTCCTGGCCCAGGGCAGTTCATCTCCCCTCCAAGCCTCCCACGCCCTGAGGCTGCCAGGAAACCAACCCTGGCCAAAGTTAAATGAAGATGCAAAAGTTAATTGAGGATGTGAGCACAGCCAGCAAAAAGAACCCACCAAACAAAAGCCACCTTCACTGCAACAAAGCCCAGCGAGCAGGGATCAGCCCGTGCAGGGGAACAGAAACCAGAACAGATTCCAGAAGGAGATGCCAGGAGCAGGTGAAAAATAAAGACACATCCCTCAGCCCATGCTGCCTCCCTGCTCTGAGTCACGCTCACTTTTCCCTTTAAAACTCATTAAAAGAAGATCAATATTTCCACCCATCCTGCTTGCCTGCGATGAGAAAACAGGGGCTGAACTGAGAGAGCTTTCCAAATTAAACACTGGCACACAGATGAAAAAGGGAGCAAAGCTTTTTCCTGCCCTTTTTCACCCTTTTTCCGTGGCTCTGCAGAAAAACAGAAGCTCTGGTGATGCCAGAGCCCGGCAGCTGCTGAGGTGCCCATGGCACAGGGGGTACCTGGCACCTTGCAGAGATGCTGTGAGGCATAAGTATTCCCTTTGGACCTGCCCTGTGCAGAGAGGGGGTCTGGTCTTGTGCTCTAACAAGCACAAACTGTCTCCAGTTCTTCTGCCGAGATTAGCAAGAAAAAAACTGTGCATTCAACACCTCCCCCCGATGCTGTTCTCCAAACTCCCTATTTGAGGGTTTCAAATCACCTTTAAAGCCAGTTACTGAGCTTCTCCTGCTTTAATTCTCTGGTTTAGCCTGTGCTGATGGCTCCTTCCTTTCCCATACAAAAGCTGAGTTCTTCCCCAGGGATATTTTACAAGACATTTAGTGACAGGACAAGGGGGAGTGGTTTCAGACTGGCAGAGACGAAGTTTGGACTGGATATAAACAAAAAAATCTTCCCTGTGAGGCCCTGGCACAGGTTGCCCAGAGAAGCTGTGGCTGCCCCTCCTGGACCATTTCCTTCCTTACCTTCTTCCTCCACCCCTTCCTCTCCTACCTAACAAAAGTGCCTCTCCACGAGATAAAAGCAGCTGCTGGAAGCCTGTAATGAGAGAAATGGCCAAAAGCAACAGCCTAAAGACCTGCCTGGTCCTGGCAGCAGCCTGCCAGATCTCATCAGGGATGATGAACCCTGGATTGTGTCTTCCCAGCAGTGATGCTGTGGTCAAAATAAAGTTAAAAAAAAAAAATAAAAAAATTAATAATAAGCTCCCAAACTGCCTCCAACACCCACCACCACCACCTCAGGCAGGGGGGTGTGCTGTCGTGAAGGAAGGGAGTTTATGAGCTTATTTGCCTGATCCACCTCCCACTGCAGCACAGAGGCACATGCAGAGCAGAACCCATCCACTGCCCTGCTCCAGCCTCTTTCCCGAGGCAATTTGCTGTGTAATGATTATGGAGTTGAGAAGGCAATTTCAGGAAAACTAGTTTGTCTCCAGAAGGAATTGAATAGAGGAACTGTTATAACCCGACGCAGTAATTTCTTTAAAAAGCAGCTGGCACCACGTGAGGCAGGCAGGGACAATGGAGAGGCAATTCTCTGCAGAGACTGTTCCAGCCTGCCCTGGCCCAGGGCAGGGCACCAGCCCTGCCTCACACACTGCAGGGTCCACAGGCTCTGGCTCCAGACAAGCAAACACCGGGACTTCCAAGGGAAAGGGTGACAATTCCCAGCTCCTGTGAGGGCACAGACCTCACTGCCCTCCCGTGCCTGGGAGGTCTCTCTTGTGACTGTCACACCCTTCAGACACCTCGTGCTTCCCAGGGAAAAACAGCCAGGTGTGCCTGTGAGTTCCCTGGTGTTTGTGCCTCTTCAGAGGATGCAGCCAGAGCAGGGCTGGCCCTGCATCCTCATCCATCACCCCACAAGTGCAGAATTTAGAGATGTCAGGCACAAAACGTTTTCCTTGCCTGCATCATGTTCCAGCACAAAGCTGTCCTGAGGGATTTCTCCTCGGAGACAAGCCAGAGAAGAATAATTGTTGAGGAGCAATTAATATTATGCCCCTTTCTTCCTATTTCCAAACACAGGTCGTTCTATCACTGTCAGCTGACTCTTTGCCCTTGCAAATCGCTGAGGACCCAAATCCCAGGGAGGCAAAAGGGAAAGGCCTCGAGAAGACTGGATGGCACTGGTTGTCCCCACACCCCCTGCCCCAAACCCCAGCTGGGTGCAGATGCAGGGAAATGCCCCCGGGGTGGCAGTGGGACGGTGCTGGGAGCAGTTTGCCTCTGCAGATGGCACAGAGAGAGGAGAGGAGACAGGCTGTGACCCGGGCTGGCCTCACATCCCAGCCCAGACGGGCAGGCTGACGGGTGGCTGTGAGCTATGGGAGCCACCTGCCCTCTGCTGCAGCCCCGATGAAGTCACGGTGATGTCACGGTGGGGAAGGGCTGCCAGGTCCTGCCTGTGCTGGCAGCAGGGAGCTGAACCCGCCCTGGCCAACCCCTTCCCCCAGCAGAAACAGAACTGCCAGCAGAGAATGCCCCATCTCTGAAGTGTTCAGCAGTTTCTCAGACGTGAGCTCCTCCAGGGGGAAACACAAGTGCCCCCAGGATTTCATCCCAGAACAGCCACACCAGTAAAGCAGGTGCTGGCTGTGGTTTCCCCTAGAAAAAGCTCTCTATCCTGGGCTTATTTGGAAAAGGAACATTCCTAAGGCCAGGGTGTGCCCACCTTACCCTCTGCAGCACCCAAAAAGGCGCCTGCAGGGCGTGGCCTTACCTGCCCCAAAATCACTCCCTGGGGTCACTGAATCCACGCCAGGGGCAGCAGAATTTTCCCTTTCTGGTTCTTTCTCAAGCCCATTGCATTTGGAGAACCTTTCTGCATCGTGTGCTTCCCAGGGGACACATCCCTGGCAGGGCTTTGGGTCTATAAGGTAGAAAATCGAGTTGCAATCAAGGTCCTGCCAGAGAGTTATCCACCTGTGAAGATGTACAGGTCTCTGGGCTGCCATCAGAGCCTGCTAAACACCCGGTAAAATTAACTCCGGGCACTCAGGGGGAGCCTCTGCTCTCTCTGCACAGTTAACCTGCCAACATTCCTTGGAAATCTGTCATTGTTCAGCTCAGCAGCTCCTCACTCAGCAAGAAAAAGGTGTATCCAGGAGTGGGTGGATGTTCCTACCAGCCTTGCCTGCAAGATACTCGAGTGAGAGGCTACTAAATCAACTTCCTCCTTAGGAGCAGAAAGAAAGGTTTCCCCAGCCAGCAGCATCATTTTCCCTGTACCCAGTTCCTTGTTGCACCCTCAGAACGACTTTCTTCCCCTCCCCAGGAGGGCACAAAGTCATGGCCAGCGCTGTTAACCAAAAGCATCTGCCTCGAGCTCACTCACACAGCCTCATTATGGGCCCTAATTAAATAATTACACGTTTTCATTCACTGTAATCACAGCCCCCTACTTATGTAAATAAATATGCTGACAGCAATTACCAAATTACTAAAAGCTATTACAAAATATAAATTCAGGTAAAGAGAAAACCACATCAGGGAGCTCCTGCCCAGGTCCAATCCACCTCCAGACACAGAATTCACCCCCCTTATGCCACATTTACCAGTGCCAGGCCCAGCAGCAATGACAATACCCAAGGAACTATGATATCTGGGGGAGAAGGGGACTTTTCTTTCACTGCACAGTTAAGAAAGGAAGGGAAATCCTGTCAGAGAGGTCAAAAAAAGGGGACGAGGAGCCGAACTCTGTCAGCTGGAAGCTGCTCACTGAACTAATCGTGCTGGAGCTGGAGAAGGTAACTCAGGGATGTGACTGATTGCTCAACTCCATCTGCCTCGGGTGCAGCTGAGCCCTGCATTCCGGGCGGGATGAAGGCTGCTCTCTTTAGCAGGACACTCAGGTGAGGCAGGGACAGAGGGGATGCAGAGGGCAAGGATCCTAAACGGGAAAACAGCGACCCTAAATGGGAAAACAGCGACCCTAAATGGGAGCCCTCGAAGCACGGCCAGACTGTGCCATCCTCTGTGGCACAGCAGAGCTTTTCTAAGAGGGTGCTTTGGCTTAACAGAGTGGCCTTTTAGCCAAAAACAGGCCTGTATTTTATGCAGGTATCTGCCATTTTTTTGAGTTGTAAAGCTCAGTGTGGCTGTAAAGCTCAAAAGGTGCCACGCTAATGAACGTGCAATTAACTGGCTGAAGTTTCTAACTAATTAATTCCCCTTTTCCAGCAGTTTCAGCTCCTCAGCACTTCATGGGTGTGCCTCAGTCCGACTCCCTCGAGCCTTATCTGCACTTAAACACTGATGAACCCGAGGGCAAAGCGTTTCTCAACCATCTCAACGAACGCCGCCCATCCCAGAATGGTTTTGTTTGCCTGCTCTAAACACACTCAGCAGCCCAAGCACATCATCCTCACTACAATATCCACCAGCAATAATGTTCTTTACTCTTTCAACACCAAGGTTTGAAAAGCACAAAGCTGGAACAAAGTTGCTGTGTTTGAGCCTCGTTTTCTCACCCCAGAATTACAAAGAGGTGCTTTTGCACACGCAAGAAAGAAAACACCATTTTTCCCAACGCCAAGGAAACTTTTGCTTTTGTCACTGGGAGATGATGAGTCAGCCCCATGTTTGCAGGCAAGGAAGGGAAAAAAAAAACCCTTCTTTATCTGCACTTCCAAATGCTTTGGGGAGCTGCTCTTTCCTGCAGCAGAGAGGCAGCTGCACGAGGAATTCTGGACACCCCTGTCCCTCTGCCACCCGGGGACAGCCCTGGCAGTGCTCTGCAGCCTGGCAGGGTTCAGAGCCACCCTCTGGGGCTGCCTTTGCTCACCAACACGTTTGTGTCCTTCCCTTGGCTCCGGCGGGGTTTGTCAGTCGCTGTGAGATGGAGGCAGCGAACAAAGGCTGTGCATGTTTGTCATGTTTCCCCCAGCCCAGAGCTGCTTTCTGTCCCCAGCACCCCGGGGAAAGGGCAGCAGCTGCTCTTGCAGGGACGCTGTTACTGTCACCCTCTGAAAAAAGCACATTTCCATAAGGCCAGAGGACACAGCACACACGGCCACGCGGTTCTGCTCCAAAGGGGTGGCAGCAGCCCCGTTCCCCCACCCCCAGTGACACCAGGACAGCCCTGAGGACCAGCAGGGACTCGGCCCCCAGCACAGGGCTGTGTCTGTGCCTGCTGGCAGGACCCTGTGCCCCCTCAGCCCCCAAAACACACCCCACAAACCCAGCACCCACCTCTGTAGCATCTTCTGCATCAGGGGCTGAGGGGGGGCTCTTCTCCCTCCTCTGGTGCAGCCCCTGCCCCAGCTGAGGGCCATGAGCATCCCCCCAGCCTTCCCACCCGCAGGCACTTGCTGCTCTGCCAGTTTTCCCTGAAAAAAGTCCCATTTGATCCCCTGTGTCCTGCCCAGGAGCACCTGCTCAGGGTGGAGGGGCTCTAGCAGCGATTCCATCCCCACCACCTTGCAAAGGGAGCAAGTCTGACCCTCCCTGTGCAGCAGGGTGGAGTCTGCAAACCCACTGTTGCCCTTCCACATCTCCTCAGGAACCATCTCTGGAGTGGATTTACATCCCAAAATCAAAACCCAGCTCCCCAGCCCCGAGGTCCAGCACAGCCCTGAGCCCCCAAAACTCCTGCAAGACTCCTCACAGCAGGTCTGAGACTTCCTGCTGGCAGTTTCCAAGGTGGTGATCTAATGAGTCATTAAAGACAAACACGAAATAGGAGAAAGCATTTGACTTAGCACTTCTTTCCAAAAAAAAAATACTGTAGCTGCAGAATTTTAAGCAGAGCAAACCAGAGCAATTTTAATAATATTAAGCTCAAATTGACAGCAAAAAGAGTGAATATAAAAGAGTAACAAAAACCCAAATATATATAAACCATAAGGCATTGTGAAAAGAATATGATTAAGCTTTCAAAGTTATACATTGAAAATTTAAGCAGTGCTGGGAATGAGGTCTTTTTCTTCTCTGGTTAAGAAATATCCTCCCATATAATCAGATAACAAAGACTGTAATAATTCATACAAAGGGAGCTGGTGCTTGCAGGCTTCATGGTGGCTTCCATTTACTCTCCAGAGCCCAGACCTGCAGCTCTGGTGACACACCTGTCCCTGGGGTGTGATCTGTGTGTTTCTGTGCACGTGTGGCATCCCACTCAGGGAGCTTTGTCACTTCTCTATTGGTGACGTTTGCAATGTTTGAGAAACAGTCCCTTCCTGTTGGAAAGCTGAGCAGGTTTGCAGTTGGTTTGTTTGGGTTTTTTTAAAGGATGGTGGAGGAAGAAGAAAACCAGAGTGAGCCTGTGGTGGCATTTTCACACAAACCACGATCAGACATTAAATCAGAATCCAACTCTGAGAGAGAAACTGAGATTTGGCAATGGTGAATAATTAAGGATGTGATTCCTACAGCGCTTGTTTTTCACTGTCACATAAATAATAACAACAACGATGACAATAATAATAATAATAGCACAATATTGCCAGATACCAGGGGGATTAAACATCAAATTAATGTTTAGCAAGGTTAGGATTAAGCAGAAATAACAGCTTTATGATTAGAGTCTGAAACTGCTGCTAATAATGACTGATTATGCCCCTGCAGAGGAAGAATTACAAGTACTTAAGGACAAATAACCTTCCCGAAGTTGCTGGCAGCCTAAAGCAGAGAGGCACTGAGGAGGCCAATAAATCCTCTGTGTAATGGGGCTGTTCTGTGGGCAGAGCAGAGGTGAGGGAGGATGTGAGAGTGGTTTGCAGCAGATAAAACAACAACTGCACCACGTCCACAGCTCCCAAAGCTTTGGGGACAAGTTAAACCTCTGAGCAAGCAGGGTCATAAACCCCTTCCCAAGTTCCTGGTGGCAGGAACCGTGTTTATTTGCGATCCCTGCAGCTGCAGCTTGGCAGTGCCAGGCCTGTGTGCCGCTTTCCAGCCCATCAGCTCTGTCTTTCCCAGCTCCTCACCTGCCCTGGGCTCCTCTCAACGCGCTGGGTTTATTTCCACGGGGCTGTTTTCTCCCCTCTGCCATCACTTGGCAAATCCACCCCGCTGTGTGGAACTGGGAGGGAAGGGCAGACAGCCCAGGGCATCCCCCCCGGCCACTGGGAGGTGAGAGACGGGGAGCAGCTCCCGAGAACAAACCTTGTTTGTTCCTGCTTGGGCATCCCCCTGGCTCATCCTTTCCCCGGCCTCCAGGCTGCCTCAGAACATCTCCCCTGGCAGGATCCACCCAAACAAGGCTCTTCCTTGGCCAGACATTCCCTGCAGTTCCATATCTACATCTCACTATCTGGTTACCCTTCCACACCCCTGTACCAGGCAGATCCACTCAGCAAGGCAGGGAGCCCGAAATTCTCTTAACCAGAAGCAAATGCATCGCAGAGTCCCACAGTAATCCTGCAAATCCACCCTCTGAAAGCGCCCCTGGGCCCCTGTGTGTGGCACACAAGCACAGGTACTCAGACTAATCACGGAAAAGAGAGGAAATGGGATCCCAATTGCAACGTTTCTTTGTGTCAGTTCGAAATTCGTGCTCCTGTTAATGCAGCAAACGTGACTTTGCCTGCGTTAGGAACTCTCAGCTCTCCCAAAGGCACACTCCTGCAGCAGAACACAGTTATGGGAGGTGTTTCCATCAAATCTCCCTCACTGGAGACATTCCAGAACCACCTGGGCACAATCCTGTGGCCCTGTTTGAACAGGTGACCCACTGTGGCCCCTGCAAACCTGACCCATTCTGCATGCTGGGATAATAATGTTGGGTCAACTCCTTATAAACAGGATTTCCCGTGCAATTATTACAGGAAACTAAAGCCTTGTTGTTCGCAGGTATGTGCATTTGCAGGAGAGAATGAGGGGGAGAAAATTGCAAAGATTTAAAAATTAAAAAAAAAAAAAAAAGCAGTTTCATGGAATTATGGCACCTCAACACGTTTGCTAAAGAGAAGTCAGAGCAATTTGTGATGTGTGTGTGCCACATCCTCCCCCTCTCACCTGCCACAAACTGCCACTGTAAAAGTTTCCTCTGGGCAATGTTGAGCTCCAGCACTTCCCAAAGCCTGGCTCGGATGGATGAGGGTCCAGAGGGTCAGGCTGGCAGGTGGACACTCCAGCCCATGCTGGAGCCCATTCCTCCTTTTTCTGCTGCGTCTCCTTTCATTTCCCCTTGGCTGGGGAGAATTTCAGATGAACTGCTGCTTGACATTTGAAAGTCTGAAGTTCTGGGTTGCCTGTAATTACTCCAAATCTCCAGGACAGCCCGAGGCAGCTCTCAGCCTGGCTTTCTCACACCAGCTGGAGTGCCTGCCTTTTCCTCAGGGATGGAGGCTCGTTGGGAATTCCAGGAGGGTTGCAGAGCTCTTGCAGAGAGGATGATGGAGAG